TAAAAATATTTAAGGAATATTTATTGTATTAATTATACAAATAATAATAAGGTAAAAAAAAGAAATACCACTTAAAAAATTAATTTGATAAAAATTAATCTCAAGACGATAGAATCGGCAAAAAATTTAATTTTTTATAATATTACTTGTCAAAAGTAACTCTGCAGATAGAATTTGACAAAAAAAAACTTTTGTAATAATTTAATAATTATACGACACTAAGAAAGAAAGTGAGAAAGAATGCACGAGGCAATTCCACCAGCGCCGGGCGCTGCTCAATCGGAAAAAGCTTTCGAAAAAGCACCTCGTGAAAGAATACGCGCGCAGTCCTCCCGTTTTCTCCATGTTTATTCGTTGCCAACTAAACTCGCGTCATCGGCGAATTGGGTAAACGGAGAAACTTTTGCGTTTGTTGGCTCGCGACGTGTTCCTCGCGATTTTCCTACAGACGAAAAACCGCTGCCGCGGTAAAGGCTTCTACTAGCTTCCTCACGATTTCGTAACTAAATTTGATTCTCGAATCCCTAGATCTTCTACCACTCAAGAAGACTTAACGAGAACTTTTCCGTTAACATTTATTTATCTTTTTATTTTCGATATTTTATTCTTAATTTTTGGTCTTTTATAAAAACCTCTCTCCCTTATATGTATATATATTTGTGATTTATCCAAACTTTTCTACAAAAATTTTTATACAATGAACGATAAGTATCGTTAATCTGTTACGAACATGATTCTGTATTCTGAAAAACTTTGCCTCTTTGGGGACTCGCCTGAATCGACCTTAACGTCGACACGGCTGGCTGGCGACTTCCGCCGAGGATCGAAATAATAATTAAAAGCTTATCGCGGGAATTGGCTGAATGCCACCGACGTGGATATTGCCGGTTTTTCCAACGGCATGAAAAGGACACGCCGGAGCGAGAGGCAGAAGAAGGCCTTGTATAAATTGCTTTAATTAAATAACCCCCCTTTTCGAAAATTGGTTTCGTGCTTGGTGAAGCGCTAACCGGCTCGCTTTTCGCGAAAAGTCGCCGTTTATGAGAGAGCCAGTCCTGCATCGCGGATTACATGCTGCAGAAATATACAGTAACGTGCACTCCCGGCTTCAAAAAAGACAGACAGAGGGGAAAGGGGGGGGGGGAGAAAAAAAGCCAATGATTCCGCATAAATATCGAGTATTTGGCAAAGTAGCGATCTGAAGAATCTATATTTTATAAATAAATCTTTTTACACACACACACACACACACAAATTTTCATGGTTTGTCCTGATAAGGACTATCGCGGCCAATAAAGTCGCATGAACATACATATTTGCGAGATTACAAGCGAGAGAAGGCGAATGAGTACTCGGTGAATGAAAGCGA